GATGAGGAAAGAGATAGAGAGGATGAAAGGAGAGCTGAAGGAAAGGGAGGAAAGGTGAGAGAGGGAAAAGGGGGAAATGATTGAGAGGTTGAAGGAGATGGAAATGGAATTGGACAAAATGAGAATAGGGGGAGGGGAGAGGGAAGGGGTGAAGGTAGGAAAAGGAGGGTGGCACCCAGTTGGACACAGCTCAATTGGACACGAGCCACTCACAGCGCTTGAGACTACAAAGCTCCTAAGCACCGGCCGCTGTGATTGGTGATGTCCAATCGAGCCGTTGTCAATCGGGATCACCCCGGAAAAGGAGATAGGGGAGGGGGAAGGGAGGGATGAGTGGATGGAAAGAATAAGAAGAAAGAATGAATGGAGAGAGAGATGATAGGAAAAGGAATATTTTAATAAAAGGGATAGAGGGGGGAAATGGGGAGATGGAGGAGAAGATAAGAGAGATTTTGGGAAGTATAGAGGCGGGGGTAGTGGTTGAAAGAGTAAGGGAGTTAAAGACAGGTAGGCAGGAAAGGGGATGAATGGGAGTGTGGATAACAATGGCGAGTGTGGAGGTTAAGGGAAAGATTTTAAGAAGTAAAGGGAAATTAAGAGGAAGGGAGATATGGATGGAGGAAGATCTGACGTAGAAAGAGAGGAAGATGAGATGGATAATGAGGCAGGTGATAAGGAAGGAGAGGGGGAAAGCGAAAATGGAACAAGGGGGGTTGTGAATAGAGGGAGTGGTGGAAATGGGATGAAGAGAGGGAGGAATTGAGGGATGGAAGGGGAAGGAAATGGGAAGAGGGAGAAAAAAGCGGACAGATGGAAAGGAAGAGGGGCGGGAGAGGAAGAGGGAGCAGGGGAAGGGGGAATAATAAGGGGGGGAAGGGGAAGGAAGGGTGTAAAGGACAGGGAGAGAGAAGACAAGCGGGGAGGGCAAAGGGGAGGAGTTGAATAGGGAGAGAGGGGAAAGGGAAACTGGGAGGATAATAGGGAGCAGGGGCCGAAGAGGGGGGGGGGGGGGGGGGGGGGGGGGAAGGGAAGGGGAAAGTGGTAAGGATGGCGTTTTGGAATGTGCTGGGGTTGGGAAATAAGGATAGGGATTTTTGGGATAGATTGAAAGGGTGGGATGCGAAGGTTTTGATGGAGACATGGGTGGAGGAAAAGAGAGGGAAGTATTTAAAAGAGAAATTGCCGGAGGATTATGTGTGGAGAGTGCAAGAGGCGAAGAGGAAAAATAAGAAAGAAAGACCAATGAGGGGGATGTTGATGGGGATTAGAAAGGAATTGTATATGGGGGAAGAGGGAAGGAAGGAAGAGGAGGGGTTGATGACAGGGATGTTGAAAGTAGAAAGGAATAGGGTAAAAAGGTGGGGGTGTACATAAATATGGATATGAAAAGGAAGCTGGAGAGTTTGGCGGAATGGATGGAGGGAAAGGAAGAGGGGATAAAAACTATGATGGGAGGAGGGGATTTTAATGTAAGAACGCGGAGAGAGGGAGGAAGGATAAGGGAAGAGATTGAAGGAGAGGAGGAAGAGAAGAGAAGGAGGAAGAGAAGGTCTAGGGATAGTAAGAAAAACAAGGTAGGGGGTAAAATGGTGGAGTTTATAAGGGAGAGGAGTTGGTCTATACTAAATGGGGATGTAAAAGGGGACAAAGAGGGTAATTGGACGTATACAGGAAGAAGGGGGGTTTCAGTAATTGATTATGTGTTGACGGATGAAGAAACGAGGGAAGGGATTGAGTATTTGGTGGAGGATGAGATGGATTCGGATCATCGTCTCTTGGTTGTGACATGGAAGGGAGGGAGAGAAAAGGGAAAAGGTAAGGGAAAGGAGGGGGGAAGAGCGAGCAGGGGAGTGTGGAATGAGGAAAGTAGGGTGATATTTAGAGAGAGATTGAGTGGAGTGGAATGGAGGGAGGGGAAGGGGATGGAGTGGATGGAGTGCATGAAGGACACGGAAGGAAGAATAAGGGAGATCTTGGAAGTTATAGAGAAAAAGAGAGATAAAGAAAGGAAGGTAAGGGGATGATGGGATAGGGAGTGTAGAGAGAAGGAGGGGGTGATAAGGGTACTAAGAGAGTGGCGGAAGGGTAATGGGGAGGGAATGGAGTACAGGAAAGAGAAAAGGGAATATAAGGAGTTATGCGAGACAAAAAAGAGGGAAAAGAATGAGAGATGGGAAAGGAAAGTGGAGGGGGCGAGGAATGAGAGTCAGGTGTGGGAAATAGTAAATGGGAAAGGAAGAGACGGAAAGGGATGAATAAGGAGATAGAGATGAAAGAATGGGAGGAATATTTCAAAGAGTTGTTGGGGTGGCACCTAGTTGGACACGGCTCAATTGGACACGAGCCACTCACAGCGCTTGAGACTACAAAGCTCCTAAGCACCGGTCGCTGTGATTTGTGGTGTCCAATCGAGCCGTGGTCAATCGGGATCACTCCAGTTGTTGAGGGGCGTGGAGGGAAGAGTGGTAAGGGGAAAAGGTGAAAGGAGAAGGCAGGGGAGGGAAAGGGAGTTAAATAGGTAGAAGATAAGGAGGGTGACGATAAATTTGGAGGACGGTAAGGCAATAGGGGATAGATGGAATTCCGAATGAGGTATAGAAATATGGGGGAGAGGGGATGGAGGAATGTGTCTGGAAGGTGTGGAATGAGGTTTGGATGGGGGGGGGGTGGCCAGAAGAATGGAAGGAGGGAGTGGTGGTGGCAGTAAGAAAAAAGGCGCAGGGGGAGAGGTCAGGGATTGTAGGGGGGTGTCAATGATACCAACTTTGGCATCATTTTTACATAAAAATGAATTTTCAGTGCAAAAATGAAAATAAGAGAAACAATCTCCAATGACCTTGATCTTAACGAATGTTATCTAGGATATGATCCTGAACAACATTCAAGAGGTTTTAGCCATCGGTCGGATACCTTGCGTAATGCTAATGTCGGCGGCGGTACTGTAACATTCGAGCCTTATAACTCGAGAAGTACTTAATGAAAAAATATTTTATTATAGTGTTTTGGAAAGCTCTCGAGATAAGCTACAAGAACATTTAACGAAAAATGGGGCTTCCTATTTAAAAAAATGACCTTGACCTTCAAATGACCTTGAAAATGAAGGTCAAGGTCATTGTCAAGGTCATAGTTCAATCAGCCCCTTCATATCCAACAATT